GTGGGACATGGCAGTGCGGGCCGGGCCGGGCAGTGCGGCCGGCGGCCACCGGAGGGCACGATTCCCCGCCGGCCCCGCCGCGGCTCCCGGGTGACTCGCTCCCGCCTTGACCAGAGCCCCGCCAGGCTGCGTCAGCCGAGTTTCGGGGCCCTGAGGTGCTGCCCGCCCGCTCCCGGCTCTGTTCACTCGTGTTTCAGCGAGCCCCGAGGGTTTCTCCTGGCTGAGGTGGCCCCACGCTGCCCACCCAGGGGAAGCCGTGCTGGGTCCTGGGGAGAGGTCCGGCACACGGATCCCCCGCGGACATACGGACACTTCCCACGGGTGCGCTTCCAGTGCCGGCGCTTGGACACCCGCTTCGTTCGGAAGTTCTGGAATACGGATAACGCGGAGTTTCTCTGACGAGTCAGTTTTATCGTCAACATCGCTACAATGATTTTTACTTAGCTTTTAAAGTCGTTGTCATGCGGCCGTTCATGTAAGAGTCTTAGCAGCTTACTGCCACGAAAGGATGTGACAGGGTTATTCCCAGTGTTTCCAGTGTCCCCAGTGCGCGGCCGGTGCTGCATCATTCCCGCCTCTGGGCCGGCGGCAGAGAGCGCTGCGCCCCCCGCATCTCCTGCATCCATCCTCCCCTCCCAGCTCTCGAATCTGTGCGAGGCCCAGAAACACCTATATCCTACTGGCAAACTAGGCAGCCCCACACAGGAGACAGGTCTCCCGATAAATTCAGATCCGAGATTATTTTCAACACGCGTTTTTATATAAAATCTTTTATTCAGCTCCAGAAATAATTTGTGGCCGTGGATGGGGCTGTTTAAGCAGATCCTAAGTACCTTGGTGGAAGCCAAGTGTGTGTCCTCTCGTGTATCTGCGACAAGGCCAGTCCTTCCCATCACAAGAGATCAACATATTTAATGCTGTGGTGGAGTTCTGCCCCTAATTATGGCTCTGGGTCTTGTTTATGTGGTTTCACATCTAAGTCTGAAAAGACCACTTAGTATAACAATCTTATCTACACTCCAGGGGATAATAGTTATTTTTATTAATAGTGGAGCTTATTGGCTATTTCAGCTCCTTTGTTTTTTTTCCTTTCCATCTCTTCCATCTTTCATGCGCTGTACAAACATATATCTTTTTCTTGTATTCTTCCTTCTCTCATGCATTACTCAAATCTATGTATTCAGTCTCTCAGTACACTTGGCCTACAGAAACTCCATTAAACTTCAGGCCCTTTTAGCCACAAATTCTGCTTTTTTCTTCCAGCCTGGGGCAGGGCGCACCTCCATCACTGGTGATGGATAAAGCATTCAATAAAGCCTTCTTCCTATGGGTGGACTCAAATTCCCTGCAGCTTGAGCAGTTAGAATTAGAGCCGTAGAGCCAGGATTTCAGCATAGAAGTGAGCTTTCACCCTGTTAGCCATGTCTGCAACCCTAGGAAAAATATACCCCCCCTCCCATGCTTCCTACTATATGTGCTCTCCCTTAGGGTTTCAGGTGCTCTTGGAATCTCACAGTTGAAAATGAAAAAGAGGTCATATGAGAAACAACCATAACTCAGAAATGAACACAGAAGTTCAATAGACAGGATAATAGGCTGTTTTGTACATCTGAAGCAGGCAGCAAATTCTGGTGTGAGGGAAAGAGCACGGAAGGTCATCCCAACTATACATATGCTTTCCTGGGCAAAAGAAATGTGTGTGTTTTATTTTGTTTTTTGTTTTTTTTATTGGTAGGCTAATTGAATGCCAGGTCTCCAAGTTGGAATCCATCCACCTTCTCCTCGTGGCCATAGACCACATGGGTTGAATGTCACCATGCAGAGAAGGTGAGCCTGGAGGGGAATGGTTCACAGAAATGAACACTCATATCACTCTTATCTTACTTTCAAGGACACCTACTTAGAAGTAGGAAAACTTTTGAGGGAGCAAGGGTTTATTTCCATCTCTGCCAGGTTGTATTTCCTTTCAGAAAAGACAGTTGGCATGGATCAAAGTTTACATATTCCTTTCTACTTGGGGAGATTATAATTGTTTTATGCTATGGGCTATCAGCTATGATGCCTAAAGATCTTCTATCCATGATTATTCCTCGTTTTACAGCCCCAATCTCACTTTTCTTCCTCCAGAATACAGGATGATGATTAGGTTACCTTTTTCACAGAGGGCTGATCTGTCCATAAGTCCATGTCCTGGCTTTATTTTCTGACCAAAAATTATACAGTAGGTCAACAATGAAGCTGATCTAGAGCACAAATCTTGGTTACCAAATTCCAAAGGCAATTTTTCAAAGAGGTAGTAATTTACTGATATGTTAAATTAAATTAGCACACATTCACTGTTCACATATCTGTGCACATACTTGACTATTTATGAACTCTGACCTCCAAACAAACATCTGTACTTGTATTTATACAAAATACTGTACTGCTTCTGCCTTGAAAAGTATCTATATCAAACATTCTCATACCAAAATCTACTATCTGACCTTGCAGCACTAAAAATAGTTAATGTCAGAAGCAGAGAAATATTTGTTTCTCCTTTTAGAACATTTGTGCTTACATTCATTAAGGACTTTGTCCAAAATCCTTTGATGTCAAGGAGACTGTTCAGTGGCCTTTGGATCAAGTCTTAAAAAGGGTCAATTAAACTTTAAATAAAATGAAAATTATAATGGGTCCAGCCTAAGAGTATAAGAGATATGTAAGAAAGGCTGCCTTTGGAGTAAAGCATCAGTCATTGTTCTCTAATATTTAGCTGATCTTGTGGAATTTTTCATTATTAAAACTATTATCCTTTTCAGTAAGGTTGTAATTAATTTTTAGTCTTCAAAACATCCACATTTTTCTTCATAGTAGGAATGTTGTTGCTGACTTAGTAAGTGTAAGGATGCTTTGAGCTCAGTAGGGCCTATATGGACTGGATCCTAAGCAGTAAGATATGACCCAGATTTTCAAAGTCAGAGCAGAGACTTAATTCCAAAATACTTTTCTGACTCTAAAATATGTTCAGGTTTATGTCTGACTTCACATGTGAGCAACTTAAGACATTTTCTACTGTCTGATCTAATGTTAAGCTTTGTTTTTCACACTTTGCAAAAGGACTAATGAATCTCTTGGCAACAGCAGATGATGTAATTAATTTGAAGGTAGAGGATGTTCAGTGGAATGTAGCAAGAGCTTTAGCTCAAAAAAATGAACTTTATATTTCAGTTGGTAATCCTTTTCTCTACAAGAATGTGTAATGTTTAGAGCATCCATTTTAATAAAAAAGAAACCAGTATTAAAACAAGCTATAGACTCACAGAGCTTACTGCACTGCTTCCTCGTAATCACTATATCAGAGGTATGAGTAATTTGAATGTCTGAAGGAATTTTTGCTGAATCTGGGTTATTTGACAGTAAAATGGTCATCATTCCTTCCAAACAGATAGAAGTTTGATCAATTATATTTCAGTGGCTTACAGCCATATGCTATCTACAGTGACATTTGTGATCTATTTTTGTTATCCCCAAATGGCCTTCAACCTAGCAGTTATCTGCCAACATGTTAAAGTTTTGGTCAGTGAAAATCCTTTAGTGTCTTGGAAAGATTCATGATGTTGTCTTTTGGCCAAAGTCCATTATGGGTAACTACAACTTTATCTACATTCAACGTATGTAATTGAGTGGCTGTGGTATGGCACACTGTCATTTGGCTTAATTTCAATCAACTAAGATAACTCTCTGTATTTTCTTTCCTACAACACTGTGTCATGTTGCTGTAAAAAGTGAAACAGCTGCCACATTCTCCTTCTTGAGGATGCATCCCAGAATGGGCTGTTTCTTCCGAGAGGACAACGTAGCCTCCAATTTGGCAGGTAAGATTTTGCAACACCAAATCCTTCCATCTGTGGTTTCATGTTGTCAGTTCATTGCAGGAACTAATAGTCTGGTCTAGATGTCAAACTATCTGATTTGTTAGTGTAGCTGGCAGGTTAACTGTCTAAGTCCTACCATTTCCTCACAGAATTCACTGTGGGTAGGAAATTTCATCCAAAAAAGAAGAAAAATAACCATCTTTAAAGATTAGAAGCACTGTTGGGAAATTAAGTTCTTAATGCTAAATCAGATGTATGATAGGAAGCACTTCATAATTGCTCACATTAAGGGTAAGGGGCCAACCCAAAGGCATATAGACAGGAGGAAAAAAGGCAATACAGTCACTCAGCTATTACTGAGAGAAAGAGCCCTTCATATTCCCACAGATCTAATGTGCATCAGAAACAAGTTAAACTGCTACAAAGAGGTAGAAGCTTTTTCATTCCTTGTGGTTATGGGAATGGGAGGCATTGTATTTCTCTGCTCATATCCCTCCCAAACTGCTCATTGAGGAAAAAAGGATTTCTGCTGCTCCTTAAATCATAGAAGTTAGCAAAATATTATATGACAAAATTCTGCCATTAAACTTTGCTCAAGAGCGTTACAAAATGGCCTGTGAAATCCATGCTGGAATAGGTGCTACTGTAAGGACATCAAAACTGAAGGGAATGGATTAGCAGCTCCCCAGTAACAGCTGTGGCACCACAAATGATGCAGATAAGCACCACCCCATTTGCAATACAGACACAGGAGAGCACCACCCTGCAGGCAGTAGCAGCATTATACATGGAGTGGAAAGAAACCACAGCAAATACAGTTTTGTGTTTTCCCTAGGTTTTCACTAAGGAGCCTTCATGGTGTCACCAGCATTTCCACCATGCTACTGCAAGGTGATCATTACCAACCTCTGTGTAGACTTTCTGTCGTTCAAAAATGTGTCACTGGATGCTTTCAGCAAGAGAAAATAGTTTGGGCATAAAGTCTTCTCTTTTCATCTCTGAGGTCACACTGCATCTTTGGGGTGATATGTGGTGCTTATGTGCTATGGAAGTGATTCAGAAGCCCTCACAAGAAATATTTCTAATGACCCATAGCTTCACAAGCACTATGTTCTGCAAGGAGAAGCAGGGTTGAAGTGAATGTCATTAGAACTTTACCTTTGTAGTGCTCTTCTCAGGTATCTAGCATGTCTTTCCAGTTTGAAGGCAAAAACCACTGGTCTTATACACCAAAATGCTCTCCAGTCAATGGATCCTTCAAATAATTTGGCCAATGGTATGCTAAAAATTCATATTTCTACTACTCTCAAAAACAAGATGAGAAATTTACCTGGTTTTGTTTTGCTTTGTTTGTTTGGGGTTTTTTTGGGTTTGGTTCAGTTTACATATTTCAGAAGATGTGCCTGCACATTTTAAATTTTTAAAATATGATGAATGCTGTGTGTTCTCATTATAGCTTTGGTAGAACTTATTTCTCTCCAAGGGCAAACCCCATGCTCTTAACATCACAGAAGTTCCTCAACATAATGAGGTTCAGTCCGTAGGTATGGCAGTTGTGATCTGAGAGGGGATGCTGGAGTCTTTCTTTTCCTGGATGTCTGAAACATAGTGAGAACTGACTCATGCTGTTGTCAGCCCAAGTACAGCTGACAGAAAAAAGCAATGAATGGGTGGATGTTTCCAAATTGAATCCCTTGGGGCTGGTAAAGGTGTTTGCAGCTATAGGACTTAAAGTCCATCTTACCAAGGACTGGTTTAGTAGTTCAAGCACAGTTTTATCAGTACTTCAGAGAAAGTTCCATTTGCTCATGATTAAAATTTGGGTTCTGTACGTCAAGGAGGCGGCACCTGATGAGGGTCTAAACTGTCAGTTTAATCATATTTGGCAACATTCAAGATATCTGCAAAGAAAATTTAAACAGAGTCAGATGTAATATGAAATGAATTCCACACGCCTTCAAGTAAGGCAGAGAAAGATCTGAGACAGCCCTTCGTTTTACAGTCTCTCAATCATCTTTTCACTTTTTTCCCCTCTATTACTATTATTCATCATCCTACAACTTCTTTTGCATCTGGTAGTTTGCAGAGTTATGAGAGTCAATGGTGTTGCAGAGTTACTGCAGTATTCTAGCATATAATTAAATAATTATAAAAATAGATTAAAACATCTTTCTGCATATTCACTTAATGCTCTTTATATTTTGTATCATATACGCTAATATTAACAACAAAAACGTGAACTACTTAAGATTGTTAGTACTCACAAATGTCCCCAGATGATGTTGCTGAGGCCTAAATATCTGATTCAGCTCAAAGTTATTTAAAAATAATTTAAAAATTATGCCTGTACTCTGAAAATTTCCTGGCAGCTAAATGACTTAGTTATGTACATTATCCCAAAAGACTTCATAGGAGCTTCAGTGCCCAAGACCAGGCCCAAGAGCACCTTGAAACATCTGAAACACTTCAGCATCTGGATAATTACATACTTTTGGGACCAACCCACATTTCTCTTTGGAAAATGTTTCCCCTGCATGGCTGCAGACAACAGATGGATCATATGATCTCTACATTTGAAAAGATGGCATAATTCTGGCAGACTGTCAGCTAAGTGAAAGAGGCTGATTTCAGATCCTCATTAAGAAAATATACAACCACACGAAGTGGACTGAATGGCAGAAAGTGATCGCTGGCGCCAGCTTTAATAGAAAATATAGCACACTTGCAACATGAAATCTGCTGAGCTGTGGCTGGATCTAGCTCTATCAGGTTTTACATTCTTTTCCCAAATAAATGCCTTCTAAAGGAGACATTCTTTGTAGTATAAGGGCCTTCTGTTTGCCAGGAGGGAGGGGAGCAGAGCAGTGGAGGGTTAAAAGGCAAATTCAAAGGGCCACCAGGTCTAGGGTTGGAGCAGGGTGCCAAGGCTTTGTTGAGTCTTCCCTTACACTTGCAAAAGTTTCTGTTTAATGAATCTTTTCTTTCTATTTCTAGTCTCTTGGTATATTTTTTAGGGTGCAGATGTTACCCCTTGGAAACACCCCTTGGAGAGGGCATGGCCCCTTCTCACTGCAGGGCTCCAGGAGCAAGGCCCAGTGCCTTCTTTACACACATTTCCATATGGAAGCAGACCTGCCAATCCCCTAAGAGCCTGAGTAGGAAACCCAGGGCACTGTAAAGTGTAATATAGTTTCCCAGAAACTCTGGTTATGAGCAACAATTTCACTGTAATCACTACTCACAGCTGAAGAGAAAAGGACTGGTGGAGCTGCACACCTCCATTTCACCATCAAACACCAAAATAATGGCTATGGCTTCAGGTCACAACTTTTGTTTCTGCAGTAACATCAGGATCGTTATATGATATCTCATATTGGCCACACAAAATAATGAACAATCATAAATCATTTCTTGCTTTGAAACTCTTTGTTAAACTATCTTTTTGTAAGATTAGAGCCAACATGTATCCCACACGAACCTGAAAAGTTCAAGCAGTAATGGTGGTTGCTGTGGTATGTTTATTCCTGTATCCTTTGTTCTGTAGCTACCACTCTTCCCTCTGATAACTGTAGGTTTCAAAAGCTGGAATCATCAACAAGGTTAAAGACTGCATAGTAATTAAACAATGCTAGAAATAAAAAGAAATAGCAACTTCTGAATTAACGTCTTCTCTCAGTGCATGTATTTCTGTTGAAGACTCTGCTCACAGATTTCCCCTTTGCTGTGTAGAGAATCATAAAATACTTGTCCTTGATCCCCTATAAGGCTTGGAGCAAGAGAAGATGGGACTGGAACTCATAGGGAAATTATTATCTTTCTCCTGCTTTCAGACCTAAGGAGAGACAGTTAAACCAACAGGATACTCTTTATCTCTCTTTTTGAAGTTATGGCAGAGGCATGACAAAAAAACATAAACAGCCCTAGAATCTCAGTATGCTTGATTATTTGTGTGAAATAAAGTCATGGATGACAATAGTGAAGCCTGTCCTTCTGCAGTGCAACAACTCTGTGTGGGAACCATTTAAAATGCCTCAGCATGGAAGAACATGGTCTGTGCCACTGTTGTGGCACTCAAGCCTTTGAGAGCAGCAAAAGCCACACTAAGATAATATAATTCACACAGCAATTTGAATATGTTGCAGTCTTTATAAGTTTATATTAATGTGGAAAACTATACTACAAAAGTAAAGATAACAGAATTACTCCCCTATTGTGACTTCTTCGAAGAAATAGGAATTTCAGGTATGTAAGGACCACTGAGCTGGAGTGTAGCTGGTGGTCAGCAGAGTGAGTAGTAGCCTTGAAAAATTCAAAGGCTTAAACTTCAGTGCCAGTCAGAAAAAAGGTAACCACTGAAACTAGGATAGAGAAGGGGAAAAGCAAAATTTGGATGAAACACAATTTAGAAAATAATATCTGACTGCACTTCTTAAAAAGCTAAAATTCTAGGCGATTTCAATTGAATATTTTTTATTCTGTAAAGTCTTTTATTCTGAATATATTGCTGTGACAAATGTTCATCTCACTATCTGAAATAAGCATTTTTTTTGAGCAGAGTTGAAGAGGTAATAAGCTGAACTGATTATATTTAGCAAGTTTTTAGAAAAAGCACTAATTTACTGTGCTACAAAAAGAGCATAACCAGCGCACCTATCCATCCCTGTAACTATTCTCTTGTATTGCTAGGAAAAGCTTGGCTGTCGTTATTTCAAATTAGTAGCATTCAAGCCCAGTAAAACAACAAATTCCTGTGAAAACAGGGACTCTGCATGCACAGCAACCACATTTTAAGTTTCAGTATTTCAGCTATTTTTAATAAAAAAAAAAAGTCCCCAAAAAACTAAAAGTCCAAATTAATTGAAAGGAGTAATAGGGTCATATAGAAATTCTCTTTGAGAAGAACCACTGATCTGAAAAAGAAATCAAAGCCACTTTTCCATTAATTTTTTACCTTAGTACCTCCATGACTTCAAAAACTGATTTACTTTAAAGTTTGTAAAATAAAAGGAAAAAAAAAAAAAAAGTATTGTTGGACTAAGACTTCACTTATCAAGTTTCATCCTAGAGGGAATTTTTATAGCTGAGTTATAAACCCTCCACACTTGAGTGTTTATAATGGAAACGCTGACAAATGCGATAATAAACACCAATCATGGGGCCAGAGTAGCTGATCAGAGAGTGGATGCAGAAGTTTGCAGTGCTATCATAATATTTTGTTCTGTTTCCAGCACTAGTTTGCTTAAACCTCCTTTCAGGTTCAGCAGCTGTAAAACAAGATCAGTCTAACTAGAGATTGCAAAATCATTTGATTATTTATACTTCTCCTCGAAAGCTACAAAATATCTCTTAAATATGATTTCATTTAGTCTTATTTTTTTGGTTTACATATCTGAATACTAATTGTAACATGATAGCTTCAAGGGAACTCAAATTTCTACCAAAAGTCAGTCTTCGGTGGCCAAAGAGAACATAAACAAACCAGCCTCAGACCAGGGTCTAAAAATGGGCTCCAAGGCTTTAAAAAGCCCCTTATTATCTTTTCCCAGAAGTAATTGACACTGTCAGTTTTTGTTCCTAATGCAGTGATAATGGCACTGTGATTTGGGGAGGACCTGGACTCAGCCTCGGTGACAGCAGGGATTCTGAGCAAAGGGAAGGCTGTTCACTCCAGTGGGTGAAATCCAAGCCTTGCTGAAGTCAGCAGCCGTTCTGCACTCTCTTAGGCTTGGGCTTTCACTGTCCTCCCAAGCCTGACAGGCTGCTGGGCTGTACTGACTCCACAGATTAGAATGCAGCTACCTTGGACTGAGACAAGGATTGGAGGAAAGGACCCCACAGTTTGGTTATCTCATTGAGATGGGATTGCACTCCAGCAAGAAGCTTGCCTGCAAT